CTTATTTGATTATCAACTTTCCACATATGAGCCATGATGTCGGTTTTATGTCTAACTAATGGTTGAATGGAACCTTGGTAATCTATCTTCAATAGAGCGTTACTGGTGTATTATAGACCAGACACCGGTAATTGGTGACGTGGTTTGAAGTCATGCAGTTTAACGCTTGACTAATCCTAGCCTCATTAGAATTCAGCATCGGCCAGAATTTTTATCCACCGAGTGACATCGTACACCTGTAATTTCGAAAGCTGATCAGAGTTGTGTGTTCATCTGCCACGACATGACACCACCCCTTGAATCCCCCCCCCACTTTCTCGATCTTCTCGATGTACGCTGGTTGATACCAGTTAGTTGCAAAAATCTTCCGACGTCTTAGTCTATTGCTTGCCAACTGATGAGCGGTTTTCAAAAAGATCGAGATTTGCTAATTCCAGTGTGCTTCTGGTATGGAAATCGCCTATGCTACTGGAAACAAGTGGATTCCTTGTATTCTAGATCAGTCCACCGACCGGCGTAGAGCCTGCGTGTGCGATTCGATCGATGAATGATGACACCTTGGTGTAAAGTCACAAGATGACGGACATCTCGGGTCAAGCATTTCTCATCACGACTTTACTGGACTGTCGAATCAGCACTATCACACCATACTCGTTACCTACGTGTCCGTTCTCTCCCCCCATAAATGTAAATCCACAAGGAACTTTGATTGATCCAACCCCTTGTTCAGATAAACCCCTCCGGCCTATTTTAAGGATGGTGGCATGCTTTTGGTGAGAGAAGAGGCAGTCGTAGGCTGCTTATGGGCAACTCGTCTGGAGACTCGGTCATATACGCTCCGTTAGGCTCCCTGAATGGGGACCTCTCGATGATGGTAGCCGATAGTTAGAGACACTTAGTGATATGGCTGTGTCGTTCGTGCATCTCAATTTATTGGTAACATTGGCCTGCCGAAATTCTCCATTTTCCATTCGACTCTACTTTCAACTTTCTTGTCTTTCTCTTACTGTTCATCCAGATGGACGGCCAAAAGACATCAACGAAAATCGGCTCACTAAAGCTCATGGTTGATGGTTGTTCAAACTGAAACTGAAGTTGCCTGCCTCGCATGTTGTCGTGTTGTTACATTGTTGTTTACTCTCACTGATTTAGATGGAATGAGATAATTGACTGTTTTCCGACGCGATCGTTCCATCACTCCTTGTGGTTCCTGTTCGATAGTTGGTGATAATGCGCTCCGTTATTCGTTGCCTGTTGCTATCAACTGGTGGGCTTCAATTAGTTAATAGCTTTTTTCGATGATTCGCTATCACCCACAAGACTGTAAAACCCTAATTGATGTCTGTTATCTGTTTTGATCTAATACCCAATCCATCATGTTTTCCATTCGCAACGTCAGATAGCCTGACAACTAATCAAACTGTTTATCATCATGTCCCGGAATTCCTGCTAGAAGTCCATGTCTCTTTTTGTGCGGTTTGAAATGAAATGTTGTTATTGAAAGGTTTAGTCAGCAGTGACTCATTAACCTTGTGAATGCTTCAGATATTGTGTTTTATTCTTTGAGCGCCAGATTCATTGCTGAAGACGTTCAGCTTGTGACTCTCGCGCTTCACCTTATTAATGATGAAAACTACTTAGTGACACGCTCAAACGTGCGCAGATCATCATCCTTCGTTTAATTATTGATGTGTAAACCTCAAATAAAGTCTTGTTCATTTCTTTCTGAAACGTTAATTTGTATGAAACGAGCATCTACATGTGTGTGTACTTTTCCCGATGTGGCACCCCTCACGAGAGTAATATATAAAGAAAACGAAATTGGAATGCTGGATTGTGTAGTTATTGTGTGCATCTAACTTAGAATAAGCTATCGTTTCTCCACTCTGTTAACCCATCACTTTTTCACGCTACGCTTTTCATCCCCATTCATTTGTCACAGGTCGAAACGGAAAACACGGGGAGAAGATGATGACAAATGGGAATGCAGTGTGTGCACTTACATTAATCCCAGCGAATCGTACAAATGTGACATT